GACTGGATGTGGCACTTAGTGCCATGGTCTAGTAACCACAGTGGTAGTGGACCAAGGGTTGGACTTGATGATCTCAGAGGTCCCTTCCAACCCAGCTGGTTCTATGATTCTAGGATTCTATAATAGTGAATTTCACAAGGGTGGTTTTTGTGGCCTGGGTGCGATGCATTTTCCCTTGGACCATGTAAAATGTAAAATGGATTCTGCAGGCCAGAGCTCTTCCCTTCTCCTTCATTCTCCCCTGCCATCATGGTTTTGTTCAGTGGGAAGAGGAGTCATTTATTCTTTATTCAGCTGACTCTGGCCCCAGTGATGTTGAATGTGTTGAATGTGGTACAGCTTCAGACTAATGGGCAACGGCTAAACTGTTCCTTGCTTTCCCTTGGGCTGGTTACTGGCTCTGAACAAGGTGATACCTGACTGGGAACCTTATCTGGCCATGAGGGTCCAGAGTTTAACTCTTTCCCCAAGACAAGTGATTTGACCACTGAAAAAGTACAACTGGGGGTGCAGTGATACAGTTGATTTCTATTGATGCTGACCATTCTGTGTTTAAAAAATTTGTGCAAGTAGGGTTTTTTTTTGGTACTAAGATAATTTGGAGTATAAATCCAAGGATTGTTTTGGAACCTGAACTGTGATTTGATGTGTTTACGTTGAGGCAATTGGTAAAAATCTATTTTCAGAAGAGAGGCAGATTTTAATTTTGAGGGCTTTATCTCAATATATATGGAACAGCTTATGTGTAATGGAGCCTTTGATTTCACTCTGCAAATCACGTGCCTGAGAGGTGTTGCAGTGTTCAGCATCAGAAAGCCTAAGCTGGTCGGTTCCCCCATTTTAAAATTAAATAATGGTGTCTTTTGTGAAATACTTTGACATTTCATTATTTCAGGAGAAAAAAACCCCAAATATCTTGGAGGTACAAAAATAAGTACAGCGTTCATCTGTATTGAGGTTTAGGAATACACGATTGGATTTCTTGAACCATTCAAGTCTGTCAAGTTCCTTCCTGTGTCACGTGCTTGGCAAGAATGTTGCTGAACTACAACTTCTAATAGACGCTGCCAGCCTTGGTTGATAAATGACCAATTTATACCCATTTGGTCTATGCTGGTATTGTGTTTTAACATAAATATTTTTCTCCCTCCTCAGTGTTTTCCCCTCCCTAATGACAAAGTTTAGCTGTGTCATTCCGGCTTTTGTTGTGCCGAGGCAGCCAAGGTTTGCCTGTCAAATCTGTCATCCCTGATCACTTGGCGTGATGAGAGACTCTCATCCCTGATCACTTTTCGTCTTTCTCTGCACTCACTTAAATTCACTTTTCTTACCCATGTCCTTGTAAAATGATTTGATAACTGGGGATCATGTTTGCTTTCCTTGTGCCAGTACTGACAGTGCCCAGGTAGCCTTTAGGCTGAGAGGCTTGACTGCTTCAGGTGACAAGATTCCTATGTGAGTGACCGGGTGTTGCTGCACTGTTTAATTCCGCCTTGTTTCTACTGCTTCATCTCTCAGTTCATCAAATCCATGTAGTCCTCTGACCTTGTGCAACCTCTTGTGAATTCATGGGAGCAAGTTTTGATGCTACTTCTTGTGCCAAAGTCAATAACAAAACATTTAAAAATGCCTGTCACAGTGTAGTTTTTGGGGGAGCTTCACTGACAGCAGTTTGACTTTCAGTACTGCCCTGTGTCATCTTGATGTCTTTGATCTGCTCCTTACCCGTGTACAGTTTTTCTGCTCATCTCCATTGTGACAGTGTCACTAATTTCTCATTTGGGCATTAGTTTAGCAAAAAATACCCAGCTTGTGGTAATCAGCTAACTCATTTCTTTTTTTATCTAAAAACCCACAAGGTTTGACATTTGAATAAATCAGGAAGTGACTCCCTAGTCTGTGGCAGGATGCTATCTGTTAGTGATGATGCCCTACTTTCATGTAGAATAAAGGAAGCTTAGACACTTAGGTCAGGAGATGGAAAAGCCAAACCAAATCTCCCCTTCAGGATCCTTACTCATTTAGCTTAAATACATATAAGCTTACTTTGCATATAAAATACCAGAGCTATGCAATTGCTGTCTTTCTACTGTAGCTCCTCCCTTAATCTACCTTCTCCATTTTCTTCGTGTGTATACATCCTGTTAATGTGGCAAATTGTTTTAAATCTCAAATCAGGTAGTGAGAATTCCTGAATGTGGATGGCAAATGGAAAAAATGGATATTTTTTTTACATTACCTGTCCTTTCATACTAATATGAATTACAATTATGGGAGAAGAAGATACTCCATCTAGAAACAGAATGGTTTTGATTTTGTAAATGAAATGTAAATGAATAAATGTGTGATTTCCTTCAGTAAAAAACCAACACATTCTGTCAGTATTACAGTACAGTACTACTTGGTGACAACTAACGCAGAAAAGTTTCCATGCATTCAGAAATGACATCTGTCTACGTTTCCTTGGGCTGGTACAGAATTGTCCAGGCAGTGTGTTCTGAAATGGGAACTAAAGCTATTAGTTTTCTTAATAATAATGGAAACTCTTGCTTATTAAGTAAAAAATACATGAAATGTAACAGAAGCAGTCTGCCCTTACAGATTTTTTGGTGTTTGTTTTGGTTTTTTTACAACTCTTCCTGACAGGCTTCCACCTTTTAGGTGAAACAACCTTATGGTAAAATCCCAGAATTCAACTAAAAGAGTAATTGTTTCAGATTGCCTTTTTCTCTCTAAAAATGAGGTCTCCACTAAAGCATGACCGAATTTTGAAAAATAAATTTTTTACAGATTTTTTTTTTTTCATTCTTGGAAATCACAAGTCCATGAGTGGCAGGCATCTTCCTTCTCCTGTCTTTGATGGTGACAGGTGCTTGGGGCATGAAGACTTGCTTCTTGGACAGGAAATAAACTAGTCATATCAAATGCAGTATAGCTTTTGTTCCTGTATTCGGGTGGTATACGTTCTTCTTTCCATTTCAGTGAGTTTAAATTTAGAAAGACTAAACACAATTTTCAAACTTTGTATTGAGGAACTAGAGCCTTTTTGAATATTTTTACCTGCTTTTTAGCAGGCTGGATAAGTCGATTGAGTTTCATCTGGAAGAGCAAAGTTGATTATGTAGGGACTTACACAGGCAACAGGGTCAAAGGCTTAGTGAGAGGCTACAGAGAAAATGCTAAATAAGAGCTTTTAATTGTTTCATCTTTTCCAAAATACTGCAGTAATGATGAAAGGGAGTGTTGCCTCATAAGTTTTTTATTTTTTTTTCTCCTGAGTTACAGGCCACTTACTTAGGAAATCACTGCAATGACATTGGAAGGGTAACTTGTGTCCTAGGCTTCCTTTTATTCTCTTGAATGGTTGATGAATAAGAAATTGATATTATTAGCTGCTAAGAGCTACAAACGTTATTAGCCATGTTTTAGTTAAGTTACATTGTTAGATGAACAACTGTGATGGCTTGTGGTTGGGGAAGTGGGAAACAATTTGAAGTTTATAATTTAAATAAGAGTATTTGTTTCTTTCTCCTTTGTAGTGGTTGAGTAATTGTGATGGTGCTTTGCAACTGTATTACAGTATTACCCAAAATAGTATGGGGATATATATATCTATCTATCTCCCATACTATTTTGGGTAATATATATTTTATTTTATATATATATATATATTTTATAAATATATATATTTATATATATGTTTATATATATTTATATATATATATATTTATATATATATAATATATATAAATATTTGATATCAAGAATAACCTTTTATCTTTAAATTCTACTGTGCCATATGACCACTTCTTGTGTAGAAATTTTGTTCTAATCTTGGTCCTTTGAGGATATTTTTACAAAATATCTATATATTTACTCTATTTGATGTAGTGTTTTTTTTCTGTTAAAATTGCCTAATATTTATCACTTGCCTTTTATACAGCATCCTCTTCAGTTTTGCGTGCTATTCCTAGGAATCTTGAACATCTGCGACTATCATTTGCTTCATAAAATGAGTAGGCAGTCAACATCTTTTAGTTCTGTTTGATGGTGCTTGTTGTCTATCCAGAAATTACTATATATGATCTATTATCTGCAGTTTCTCCGTGTTGATGCTGAAGTGCAAGTACTAAGGATGTTTTTGCATGATGCAATAATTTTCTTTCGGATATTCTGGCTTCCCCTAATAACCAATGCAATTGATAATTAACTTCTTTCATTTGCTTAATCATGTGTGTCAGATGGAAGCACACTGGAAGAAAGTCTCGAACTGGCATTAGTTCTAGGCCTTAGTACTTTGATGTAATCAATTTAAATTAAATATTTAGAAAGTTGTGCGGTAAAACACAGAGAGAGGTAATTTTATGGTTAGATACATTTGAGCAATGTTGTAGTTTTTTTTTTTCCTAAAATATTTAAATTTTATATTTTCTCTTTACCTTTTTAAGGGCTGAGGGCAGCCCAGGATGGCCGCAGCTTCCTATGATCAATTGTTAAAGCAAGTTGAGGCATTAAAGATGGAGAACTCCAACCTTCGGCAGGAGCTAGAGGATAACTCAAATCACCTGACAAAACTGGAAACCGAGGCATCCAATATGAAGGTATTGCCAGCTCTGTGGCTGTGGTGCATCGAGATTTCTGTTACTGCCTTTTGTGTCACATACTGGGAGTTGCCCAACAACTTTTGTGTTCATTTCGATTCCCATAGAAGTTCCTTTTCTAGGCTATATAAGGGAAAACTATCAAATCTACATTATTATTATTGTTGTTGTTGTTGTTGTTATTTTCAAAACAACTTTCTAGAAGACAGCTTCCAGATTTCATAGCTTCTTTTCTTGTGTGTTGTGATAAGCTTTAGCACAGCTGAACTTCCCAGCAGGAAGTCCAGAGCATTGACATAGATTGACAAAGCAAGTATTGTTCATCCCTTGAAACCATGGGTAAGACTGGAGGTTTTCTGTGCTTTCAGGTAAGTCTGGAGGTTTTGGGGTGTACTACGATTACAATATTTAACATCTCAAAAGGAAAAGTTCCTTATTTTGATAAAACCACAAGTCCTTCAGCCTCTCCCGAAGCCTAAATTAATAGTTCATAATTTCACCAACTTCCATCCCTCTGGTGTTTATTGCCAAGGTGTGGGCCTTCAGAACCACCTATCCAAGAGCAAACACTAGGCTCAAGTGGAATTTAGGTGGATTTTAACCCACAGGAAGATACATACAAAGCTGCATCTGTGTGATCCAAGGCACTAAACAAGGCAGAATTTCACAAGTGTTATAGCTGCATTGGTGTAGTGCTCTTCCTAAGCTCACAAATCCTGCTGCTTTTTGCTAACAGCCAGCAAAACCAGTCTGCTTTTGGTACCTCAGTTAAAAAGGCCTGGAAATTGTTGTTATTTCTGTACATATTCCTGTACAGGGTAGACATATTCTAAATATTAAACAGTATTTTTTTTCTCAGTCTCCTTGCTTTCTGGTCTTCATATTACAGACTTACTGTTCCTTTACAACTAAACTTTATTTTTTTAAAATATGATAACTTGATTAATATAGCAATTAAAAATAGTTAAGCTGACCTTTCTTCTCCTCCAGATTGTTGCTCATATATTCACTGTAAGAGGAAAAATTCTCCTGTGTTATGAAACACTGTCACTAGTTACAACACTTGAAAAAAAAGCACAAATTTTTCAGATATATTTAATCCTTGCATTGCAGTGTGAAATGAAAATAACTTTGCTACTCAAATTGAAAGGAAATTATAGTCCTTTACACCACCTACTTAAAACAGTTGTTGGGATTAGCAGATGTGAAAAAAATATTTGTTTGCTGAGTTACATATCTGAAAACTAGTCCTGTCGTTTATACTGTTTTTCTTAAAATGATATTACAACCAATTTGTCAGTAACTCCCCTTCCCTGCCTGTCATTGCAGTCTAAAATAAGGAAGAACAGGGCAGGGGATATTCCTGATAGTTTTGAAAAAGAGGAGTGAAAATGTCTCTTTTCCCTTCTTTGTCCACATACAACTGCTTTGGTTGTTTATTGTTTCTTCGGGGTTTTTTAAGTTTTTCTGCAGATAATTAAATTTCCACTGATGTAGAGACAGTCCAGCTGTACAAGCTGGTCTCCAGGGCATTCATTTGGGGTGTGGAATGGCTTTATGTTCTTACTTTAAATCCGTCAGATCACCAAACAGAAACTGGCTCTATCACACTCCACAGAGAAGTGCTTTTGAGCATATTCAAAGTAGAGGTCACATTTTGTTCTGTCCTGAAGTTTCTTTCTGGATCTAAGGAATTTACCCCAAAAAACTCCTGACCCAAATATCAAACACAGTATGTTTCTTTTCACTTTGGGGGATGGGTGGAGAGAAGACCATGCAGATTAATTTGTTTTGTTTTGTTTTTTTTTTAAATCTGTGTTCGTTTAAGAAATCCATGTTATATTAAGAAATTTAATCAGCTGCGTTCCTCAGGAATATTTGCTCCTCCACCTGAACCCAGAAGTTGTTTCTTGTTTGTTTCAGATGAGTTTGGAAGGGTCACAACATAGCTTTGACTTGAACCTGAAGGATACTGTGGCAATGATCTTGGGGTCTGATTGGAGTCTGTGGGTGAAGTTTGATGGGGATCGTTGCAGGATTTTCTTAAGTCAGGAAATAATTTTAGTTTTGCAAACTTTTGGAGAAAGTATGTGGTGGCTTTGTATTACTGAAAGAAACTGCATTGTTTGTGTGGCTCCAGTGCTATAATTGAGGATAATTACAAGCAAAGTCATTAGAAGAGCCAGAGCACTCAAGGTTGAAAGCCCTTTGGCTATCATATATGCAGTTAAAAATCTTTTGAAAAAAATGATACTTTGGGAGCATGTAAGTGTCACAGAGCCCTTGCAACCCCTCCCACCAAGTAAAAGCCCATATATTAGGGAGAAGGGGAGCAAGAATGGGGAAAACAAGCTGTGGTTCTGTGGCAAACATCACTGGTTTTGCAGCATGACTTTTCATCCGTGGCCCAGTGCAGGGACATCTCACAGTGACTCCTTGGGCTGCTGCTTTGTCTCCTCATTTCCTGTTATTATTTAATCAGCTGTGAAAGGCAATATTTTAAAGACAATATTGTATATTTAAAGAATTTGATTTTGGAAGTAGTAGTGTTAAAATGTTGTGTAAATGTGCCCCATCTTTACAATCCCTTCATTTCAGAATTGTGAGGCAATCATACATGTATTAAAAGCTTAACATGAGCTCATCTTGCACATGTATTTGTTATAAACTGCTACTGACCTATATAAGAACAATGTCTGAATGCTTCGTGTTTAAAGCTAAATCTCTTGTTTAAAAGTGAAAATTCCATTTGCTAACGAGAAAACAACATGATGGGTAAACAAAGAGAAATGTGATAATGTGGGGTGCCAAAATGATTAGTAAAACAATCTCCACTTTGTTTTTTAATTTCTGTTGTCCTAGGGATTAACTGTTCAAACAAAAGAAATCCCTCAGAGTATTATGACTAACTTAGGAAATTCAGTTGTTATTATGGGCTTATTGTCGGATGAAATACAGCAGTTTGGTATGATAAAATGTTCTCTCTAAATCAACAAATATGCTGTTTCATGGTTGATGAAATAACAGTGTTGGCTAGTAAGCGGAGAAAAATGATGTCAGTGTCTAGATGTAGGAGTAACTGCATAAACACAGACTATGGACAGATTTAGAAAAATATGTAAAATTAATGAAGAGACAAAAAGCAGTTCAGTGTCAGCTCTGCTACTCTGTGCATGTGTTTACATGTCTCCCACATTTGTAGGAGATTTTTGTGAGACTTTCCTGCCTGATTCTTGTCAAAGACAAGTACTTTTCTCTTAAGGATGACATATACGTATTTTTCTAATGTCATAGCTACTGGATATCAGCATTTTTCCCTGTATAAAATCTGGAGGGAAATAGGTATATTTAACTTCTAGAACTTAAGTAGTAGTAAAGGAGCTTGATTTTCATACTCACTGAGTGCTTGGATTTTACAGTAAATGAGCAATGCATGATATTTTGTGTAAGAAAGCCATTTGTCGTATATGTGATGTTCTGTGAGCAAAACGTCTCTTTTGCTTTTATGTAGTACACTTAAAATTTTATTCTACATATGATTTTTCAGTTTGTTTAATTCTTCATTTCATTCTTCTGAATGTCTGCTGAGGAATTCTGTCTTTAGGAATGAGTAACTGCTTTTATCCGATGTCTCCTCCATTAGCTAAGCAGGTGACCACATTTTCTTTTAAATTGCCAAACTTCATTTTATGGTCATACTATTATGCTTAGCTTCCATTTCTTGGTATTTAACCTCGAAAACCCACTTTGTTCTGATCAGCTGCCTCTGATCATTGGTGTTTATTGACCCTCACTGTAAAGCACAGAAGGTGCTGGGAGATATTTTTGTAACTGGCACAAGAGTTTTTATTTCAGTCTATTGTGGTAAGCCGTGTGTTTGCAGATTAGAATTTGAAGCCCAGCATATTCACAGAGACCTCTGATATATACAACCTAACATTTTGTCAGGTGCTATGTACATAATGTAGTGTGCATCTCTCTGTATGTGAGGTTCCTCATGTAGGTGGTAGATAAATACATTTAACAGATACCCATATTTTTAATCCCATCTTCAGAAATCTTAACAACATAAATTATACATTTTGCTGGGCATACTTACTCTGTCAGATAATGTCATTTTTCCATCTCAGTGGAATGGGAGAGTGTTTTAGCTTCATTTTGCCTTTTCCTTTTGTCTTATTGTCCTCAGATAAAAGATAATTGGTTGGCATCACACAGTGAAATGTTTCACCAAGGCATACATAGAAAAAAACAATAGAAAAATTATGTTAAGCTGCATTCAATAGAGCATTCAGTACACAGAAGAGAAGTGCTTATGTTGAGATTTGATCTGGAATTGCAGTTAGTGAATAGGCTGCACATAACTACAGTAGAATAAACAAACTACAGTGCAACTTGACATGTTTTTATTTGAATCTTGAATTTAGTGTGATACACATTTCTTTCTGCATCCTGCTACACATTAGAGTATTAGCATTATTTCCAGAACTGTCCCTAGAGATCTGATTTCTAAGTTATCTGGTATTTTGTTAGTTCTGCTGAGAGGTTATCAGATATAACATAGTGGATTATAGTTGCTTCATGAACCAAAACCAGTTTTGTGATATCTCCACAGTTATTGGTCATACAGGACTTGGGGATATTTTTGTACAATGCTGAGAACATCTCAGTGGCTCTGTCTTATGTTTTAAGTGTCAGTAATAAAACTTAGAGAACAAAGGGATGAAACAGATGGAAGTGAAATGTCAGAAATAAATTATATTCACCCAAGCTGAGTATGAAATTGCTGAACTGTCAATTGTAAGGTGTGACCTGTTCTACCTTCTCTTCAACAATTGGGAAGATTAAGGTATTACCCCTTTGGCTTTAAAGAAAGCAGATTACAGCCTAAGAAAGAGAAGAAATCATTTACTTGAGTGACAGTGAGATCTTGATACTTAAAACTGTAATCATGCAAATTATTTCCCTTCTGTCAAAAGTCATCGGGTTTTCAGCCAGTT